CCACCATAGCGTATGCATCGTGGTTCCTTTGCTCAGTGGTGCGAACTCTTTTTGGTACGGCAGTCTAGTATTTGACGTTGACAACTCGACGAAAGATGAACATATTACCTCATTAGCAAATGCATAGGTATAGGACCTGATGGTCCATCTTTCAGTAGGGTTATCCAGACGACGGTAACAATAAAGTTAATCAACCATTTTAGATACCCCTAGTCCCATAATTCTGTCTTACAGGACCGGTAGTATTAGGATAGTTTAGTTCGTTATTCAGTTCATTGGTTTATGTTCAGTTTTAGTATAGTTTAGTTGTAAGCTTAAATAATTTTGTTACGTTTAGCTTAGTTTACTTTAGCATATAGTAGTTATTTGAGTATATTTCCCTAACTTTGGCGGTGTCTAAACTAAAAAATAAACTATACTAAAATGAAACCAATAAAATAAATGATCAGCTGAAAAATAAACAAAACTACAACTAAAGTAAAACTAATAAAACTACAAATACCCACAGGACTAGGGGCTAAGGGTATCTAAGATGGTAGACCAACTCTATTGCTACCCCGGCGACGTTTCGTTATCACACGTTTCTACTGTGGATTCTGGAATGCGCGTCCGCACACGTAAGCTGCTCCTGTCTTACTGTAGGTGGAACCACGCGCCCGCGTCCAAGGTCTGACAATAGGTCACGTGATGGTAGCCGCCTGCATACCTTGACCGGGCTGTGTACGTTTGGTAACCAAGCAACGCTCACAGTTTATGGGTCCAGTGGCTATTATTCATCTGTTCACTATAACTGCCGGTGACTCTCGTGAAGGATTGACAGCTAACCTACCTAGGACCTATGCGAAGACGCCCCCGTAAAATCCCAATAAGGTTCTAGATTTGTTTTTTATCGTGAAGTGGGTTATTTAAAAAAGGCAGAATGAATGTGATGGTTTCCTTGTAGTGAACCAAGTCAACTCCGAAGTCCAGGTCAGAAGAAAGTCTCTCACTGGTTGGGGAAAATTTTATCAGAAGTCACAGTGAAAAGGGGCTTAAATTGATACCAAGTAGAAGGCTATTAGGTTTTACCGGAAGAAGGAAGCTTGGCTACGAACCTATTCGAAATCGATTTCGGCCAGGGGAATTTATATGCTAGGACACACGAACAGGAAGCGTCTATATTACAGGCGGTTTTGCGCTGAATTTCATGGAAATTGCAGGTTGCGTTAAGCTTAAGATCAAGATAAGGGTTAGGTTTGAAGTTTGGGTTATGACGCGGGAAGTTTTATCACTCCTAGAATTTAGCGCAAGGCCAACTGTATTATGCTGGTAGGGGGGAGGGGGGCCTTCCTATTCCCGTGTCCCGTCGAGGGAGGGGCGGCAATGCAATTCCGACACCGAATTCACCAGACCGCAAAACAAAAAATAGAAAACTACAAGCACAATAGAGGTTCAGTACATGCATACTCCACACGTGGCGAAACACATTCTTTGCCCTGCACGCTCTCTCTATTTCCACTGGATACTTCCTGTCTGATAAGTCGACTTTTTCTGCCTAAATTCTAATATCCAAAACTCAATCTGTCGGGCAACGCCCTGTTCGGTAACGCTCTGCCCAGTGCATTGGCATATGTACAGGAAAGTAAAGGCATCGTATGCTTTTAATTATTAAACGGCCAGTAAGTCACCTCGTACTTCCTGCCGTATTGACTGCCATGACAGGTCCGATTTACTAATACCCTTCAATGAATATTGTAAAATATGACACAATAGTCGCATTCAATAACGAAAAAATCATTCTGGTTCTTGAGATCGCCTTTTCTTCTCATATGGAGTACGCGACGTATGTCGCAAAATGTTCATCGAAGTTCTGAAATGTAGTTTCGGGTAGGAAGGATTACTTAGGTAATGTTGTAACATTTTGCGGCATTATTCAAAGATGTTTAACTCACGCCAGGATGCCGGCTTTTTACTGCACTTCTTTTTGGCTAGCTGCACAAACCACACTGACAAAAGAAATTCAAATATATTTTGTAGAAAACACACAAAAGTGTAATCTTTTGCATTCATTTTGTGGTAAATTGTACCTTCTACGGTTACCTCTGATGAAAGGTTCTCGACAGAATCCGAGACGTCAGGCAACTAAACTTCTTGTTCCAGTGGAATACATCTTTGTGATTCTACGCCAAGATGCGAATATGACTTTAGGCAGAAGGGCATTACCGACGAAGACAAGAAGAGAGACCAGGATGGCCATTTCTGTCTTATTAGCCGTCGTAAGCTAGTCATACCCAGACCCAGATAGTGTCACACCCAAGCCTCGAACTCGCGACCTCTCTGACCAGAGTCAACGCCCTAACCATTGAGCTACGAGCTCGCTGTCTTGCCGGTATTAGATCCGGGATATACAGTGGCAGATACGCGTACACCGATCTGTTAGAGAACACACTCGTCCGTCCATGGTGCCATTAGAGCTCTCACTCCAAATTCCAGGTCAGGGCGTTTGACTCTGATCAGATCCTACCTACCTTCCGAGCTGATCAGTGGAAAATGAGCACAGTGGCTGGCATACCTAGTGACTTCCTATGTGCGTACTGCGTACTATTGTAGTCTGAGAAACACTGTTGTCCTCTATTACCGTACTTGTAGCGCATCTATTTGGAAAGATTATGGTTTGACCTCTGACAAATGGTAGCACCGGTGCTAGCACCAGTACTACTACGCGTCTTGTTGAGATTGTGGGAATATGAGCCCAGTGGTGACTGTAATCAGCGTCACTTTCTGACTAATAATGCAGCCAGAAATAGTACCAGCAATACTATCACTCAGCTGCACTCCTAGCTAGTAGTGTTAGAAACATCAGTAGCGGTAGTAGCAGTACCAGCCTTGGTTTTCAGAACTCTGGCTTGACAGCTACTGAAGGTGGGCATTTCCTCGGAATACCTTTAATCCAGATCCACATTCCCTGCTAAGAGCAAGGGGATATGAGCAGACGTTCTGTAAAGTCGAAGCCACAGGTAGATACTGTAGTAGGCCTATAGGTAGCCTATAGACGGCAAAATGACGACATAAGGGCATAGTAGGACTTGTGCTATTATTTACAAACGCTCTATTATTATCTAAATGTTAACTAATTACCTCACAAAGATTGGGAGTGCATACTGCGTGCTGTCTTCTTAAAAACACACAGGCCGTATTATAGTATACTATTTACTGGCCTAGTAAAGCATTGTTACTAGAATTAGCACTTTAGCATAGGCAAGTACTTATAGCAGCAGTATCCTAGTCCTCGTAGTCCAGCTCCTAGTTGAAAAGGACACAGCCTGGGAGGATAGAGCTGAGAGGGCGGAATACAAGGCAAGCTCTGATGTGCTGAGGGTCTCAAACATGTAGTTACTCGAAATAGCATAAACCCAGATTTCCTACTCCTTGTTGGGAACAAAGGAGGCATGAGCCCCAGCGCTATCTTCGAACCAGCGTCACTTCTGACAAATGTTAGCGTCAGAAATAGTATCTGTACTACTAAGACTCGGCTACATTGATAGTTGGCGCTAACTACGTCCGCTACCACTTTAAAACTAACCCCTGAGGCCGTCACCATCTGTACCAACCTGTTGGTACACTTGGTGGACTTCAACGGAATCTATGCTCGAACACACACACACTCCACACACATACATTTGGAGTAATTTGACGGAAAGGTATCGACAAGACTGCAAAATAAGGATTACTTGTATGTTCCCCTAAATGACACATGGGAAAAGAGACGCTCCACAAAGGACTCAATTTATTCATGAACGACTCAATAACTAGCTGACTAGCATTAGCTGAAAAATAGCTCAAACCGTACCTCTAATCTTAACCCTAACCGTACTCCAAGACGTAACCTTACAATTAACACTAACCCTAGCCTTAACCCTTAATTTGACCTTAACTTACCTTATCACCAACCTTAATCCTAACTTTTAAACCGAACCCTATTTTCACTGGAGTTTGGCGGAAAGAAACCTGTATCGCGAGCGGTTGCTGTCCTCGTGTCCGGTTTGCGGAGCCATCTTTACTACTCTCAAGAGCAAACTGTGAAGACAAAAAGTAGCTTTACTCCGGGTAGAGCACAAAGAGCAGCATAAAATGTGCAAAGTCGTGGGGGCAAGTATTTTTAAGGAAGGTGAATCGAACCGATGGTTCCAGAGAATCTTCAATTTCCGGTCCCCGCGCGCTCGGATTCGTTCGACCTGCCAAGCAACCGCCTCCCTGAAGCTGCAGTCTGTCCGGTCAGCTTCCGCCAGTTTAACCAGCGGCGGCACATCAACCAGGTAGTAGAGGACGCTGGATTTTGGTGAGATTACCTCTTGGACCAGACGGCGTCCGTCCGGTACGCGAGGAGTCGGGGGTGTGGGGAGTCCGGCGGTGAGGAAGGCAGGCACACCGTCGAGGAAGGAACGCATGTTATGAGCGGAATTGAAGAAAATGCGATCCACCACAAGGCACGATAAGATTTGGTTATAGCTGAAAAGTGGGAGCAATCAGGACCTACTTAGGTAGGCTGCGGAAATCCATGAAGCAGTTCTGAGGGCAATGGTGCAAAATGCTTTCAGTGGATAAGATGGCTTTGATGGACACGTTAGCAGGCAACGCAAACCCAGATAAACTGCTATACAGTGAAATGGCGCCTTTTTAATGTGCACCATTCTACCCAAATGCAGATTCCACTGGGGAAAAAAGTAACATAACCTGGTTAGGGTGTACTTTCACTAATCTTCAATACTTGAATAAATTGCAGTCGTTTTAGGGAAATTATGCCAACAGTTCACCGTAATTGTTTCTGGTGAAATCAAACAGCAAGTTTTAAATGAAGACTCTCGTGTGATTAGGGTCACCACTATGGGTAAATTTCGGCTCAGGGTTAGGATTACAAGTTAGGGTTGGAGGTTTGGGTTCAGTTTAGGCTTTGGACATAGATTTAGGGTTAGAGATTAGACCACCAATTTTGTAAACGTCAATTATATCATCGTTCGTGGTCAGCATGAGAGTCAGATTAAAAGATCCATTCTTCACACTTGCTTCCTCAAAGTGATGGTTCGTCATAGGCTGGCGTTAGTTCACCTGAAACACCTAACAACTATCCTCAATTTTCCCTTTTTCACCTGTTAACAGCTTTTATTTCCGGTATTCCAAGTTGTGCGCTCAATTTTTGACGTCGCATTCAAACAAACAAAGGGCGAAAATCGATTTTTAAACTTTTGTTTCCAAAAACCGCTGCCTGTCGGTTCTATTGACTCCACAAGTAAAACCTCTATTATCGCCATTCCCTTACTACATGAACCCTCGCCTCTTGTCTTCTGGGTGGAGCCACATATCCGACAGTCATCCACATCTAATCTCCTTAAACCTGAACTTGCCGGTGTTTTGACCGCAACCAATAACGCACAGATCTGCTCATTAGCACTGCTGTTAGCCAGTGGGCACTGCTACGAGTAGCGGATAGTGTAACAACCTTCAGTGAAGTCTAGATATGAAATAGTCAGACGCCAGTTATTGGCAAGTAGGCAGTCATGAACCATTAGCAATAATGTCAACCGAACGTGGGGTGGTGGTGAACC